CTTGCATCTCTGCGTCTCCCTTTCCTCATCAAGCAAACAGCCAACAATATCTGCTTGAGCAACCTCTGAGGAAGTGCTCGGGAAAAATACAGATTTGAAAAGATGCTTTGATGAGTGAAAAGCACGCTGTAAATCTAAGTAGTACTATATCTTGGAAACCAAGCAATGGAGCTCTAGAGGCGGAGAGGACAGGGCGCTGGAAGGGGCAGTAGAGTCTGTGGAGCATGTAGCAGCCAGCATATTTGTCCCCAGGAAGAGCTCCAATGATGACAGACTTCTAGCCATCAACCATTTTTCCAGGTGTCTCTGGAACCTGAAACCTACTGAAGTCTGATGAACCCAAGACTTAATTCCCCTTGGTGCTCCTTCAAACATATTACTCCTTTGCTTTCTAGGAGAGGGCTAAGGTGAAGAGGCCCAGGGCCTCTACGCCATTCTCCTGTAAGTCAGTCAGGAGGGTTAGGCGGTTGTCAGACTGCATGGCGTGTGTGCGTGAGCATGGGGGCTCGTGGGGCGGAGGAGGAGGGCGTGCGGTGCTGTTCCGTGAGGGGGCGCCATGAAGACGCTGCACGGGTGGATGGTCCTCCAAGTGCCCTGTGCAGTGCCTGGGACTTCAGCGGCCAGCTCTGGTCGCCGTCCTCCCTGATGGATCCTGTACTGAGCTGCCCCGAGGCCCTTCATTGTGCCCAGCTCGGGGCAGCTCAGTACAGGATGCATCGGGGTGGGAGTCAGCAGGAAGCCAGGAAGCACTGAGGCCCCAGCACAGCACTGCCGGGGCTGTTAGCCTTTAAGCCCCCAGGGCAAGGCTCTGGGGCTGAGCCCACACAGGCGCCGCCTTCCTGCGCTGGGGCAAAAAGCGAGCCCGCTGCCTCCTGAGCTGCCAGAAGTGCTGACTCTGTGCCTCCCATCATATCTCAGCACTTGGGCAGAAATGAGGATTAGCGGATCTAGTTATAGGATAAAATTAGACCTGACTCCTCAGCAGCTTAAGGAGGTCACCGCATTAACCCTGGCACTGCCAGGCTGTTGTTGGTTCGGAAGGTTGTGATGAGCTGCGTTCTGGTCCTGGACATAACGCAAAGGTGCAAATAATTTGAAAAAGCAGAGGGATAAAAGGAAAATGACAGTCTTCCGCCTTGCTTTTCTTATGGTAGCGGCAGCAATGGCTATAAGGTTCAGCTTCTGTTTGGCTCAGATTCTGCTGATACTCTTCAACAGGAGAGAGGCAGCCCAGAAGCCAGGCTGGAGGAGGGGAGAGGGGAAACCTAGAATTATTATTAGTTTTTTAATTTGCTATAGACCATCTTCAAAGTGGCCAAACCCACCAGGGCAATGCAGGGACCAGACCATACAAGAGTGGGCGTCAGGAACACTGAGCAGGCCGGCTCCAGAACAATTAAGTGGCCTCTGCCAATAGGAGGCTGGGAGGGGGAGACAGTCCTGAGGGAGCAAGCATGGAGGCAGGGCTCCTACCTTTGGCTACTAAGGGTTCAGGAGGCCGCATAAAACCCTCTACCCTCACAGTAAAGGATCCGAAGGCTCTCTGTTCCTCAATAGCCACACCCACCACCCACTCCCAATCATGTATTTGTTTCAGAGAGAGTGAAAACTGGGGCTTTGGAGTCTAGACTCAAGCTCTGGCTTCCCCTATTTCCAGATTTAAAAAAAATAATAAGTTGCCAGGAAGTTGACTCAGACTCATAGTGATCCCACGTGTGTCGGAATAGAACTGTGCTCCAGAGGGTTTGCAATAGCTGATTTTTTGGAAGTAGATTGCCAGGCCTTTCTTCTGAGGAGCCTCTGGGTGGACTCAAACTGCCAACCTTTTAGTTAGCAGTCACATTTACCCTCATTACCTTAAACAAGTCATTTAACTGCCCTAGTTTCAGTCTCCTCGAGGGCGCATGATAATAGTCCCTTCTGAATGTGTGTTACTCTTTAAAAAAAAGTTTAAAATAGTAATGGGAAGTGTGAGAGCTGTTATAAAGAGTAAATAAGAACACATATATTCTGACACTCAATCAATTGCAGATCTGATTGGTAGTGTGACCCGGAACAAGTCAATTGACCTCTCTAAGCCTTGGGTTC